GACCTTGGGGTATGTGGGGTGGGGTGTTTCTTTTTTGGGTGGGGGAGGCCTCAGTCCAAGTGTTTGTGTGTTCCCCCCCCCTTTTTCCCTCCTCAGTTCTTTCTTGGGGGGGGAGGATGAGGGGTCGTGTGGTGCAATGGTCAGGTGCACCGGGCCCAAACTGGGGCCCTCAGTCCAGACGTCCCTGCTCGGTGGGAGAGAGAGTGGGTGTGTCTGTGTGTGTGTTTGTGTGGGTGTGAAATCGGGAGGGTTGTTTTTCTCCCTGCTTGTCCTACCTCGCAGGGCTGTTGTGAGGCGGTGTGCTGGCTGGAATCCAGCAGCAGTCTTGCTTTGTTGATTCATGTTATTTTATTTGTTATAGTTTAAATTATCCTGTTTTGCTTTGATTTTTATTTATATTATTTGTTATAGTTTAATTTGTCTTGTTTTGCTTTCAGTTAGTTAATTTGTTAGTTTTTTTTTATTTAGGGGCTAATCAGTCTACCATTAATGTCCTTTTTTTCCTTTTGTGGTTCTCGTAGTTATGTCTGGAACCTCATTTCTCCCTGTTGTTTTATTGTGTGTTTTTTTCCCCCATTCTCATTACTGTTTATGACAATGTGTCCTTTCCTTAGCCACCCCTAGTTGTATCCCAGCAACTAACTGGGAAGGATATAAATGTCAATCAATCAATCAATCTAACCCATGGTCACTCTGAGCAACGGTCACAAGTCTAAACCAACTATAAACATGCAATTAGATTTAAAACATCAATACAGATTAATTTTTATTTCGAATTGATCGGGTTGGGTGTATGTATGCCTTTTGTTGATTAATGCTGATTTTGAGTGTATGATATGGAGGGCTGGTTTCAGTTTGGTTGGATGAACCATGGAATCATAGCAAAGGAGTGAAATAAAAGTTGATCTGGAGCAGCTATGCTGGCTTTTAGGGGTTGACCTGGCCAGTGGTGTCTTCAGGGAAGGGGAGGGAGACGGTCGGGTTAACTTTGCCTGCTATCTTCCATCACGTTCTGTTGGTGAGGCCGTCCTCTGTTGGTTTCTTCTCTGCGCAGCTGCCTTGATGCTTCCTTAGTTCACGATGGCCAAGCCGCAGAGCAGAGATCCAGGTCTGAAGGAGAAGTTTAAGAGTCTCTTAGGAATCGGGCCGTCCAAGCCGAACGCTAAGTCGTCAGACGGGAAACAGACAGAGTTCATCATCACGGCAGAGATCCTCAAGGTAACTCAGCCTGCTAAAACCCAGGAGCCTACATATTGGCTAGGAGTTGGGAGCTGCAAAGGGGCCACAACATAGTGGAGTGCTTTGATTTCAGCCTCTTTGCACCCTTGTGACCTGCCTGTGTTTTAGAGATAATGCCTGCCTGCTTGTCTGAGGTTTTAATGTGCTTTTGAGAAACTCCCCAGTTCAGGTTTTCCAGCTCATTCCCTTTTATTCAGCTAAGCGGTGTTGGGTGGCATTTGGGAAGACAGCAAGGCAGTTTGGGCCCTGGTCATTCTGCTCCATCACAGCTATTAGACAGAATGAGGGAAACAATCACTTTTAGAAGGAAAACAGTTACTCCTGCCTTTCCTCTGCCCCAGTATGTGCAGGGGAGGGGGAGAGAGTCGGTGTGTATGGCTTTCTGTATGGGCCCACCTCTCTGCTTGTGTTTCTTTGGAGGGCGGAATAAGGATGCCTGCTGTGGTACAAGCCATTAATTCCTCTGGCCGCCTTCTTCACTGGGGCATGTATGGGCCCCACTGCTATATGTGACCCATGGGAACCAAACAGTGACAGATCCAATATCATAGCTGCCCCTTTTTTTCCTCCTAGGAGCTGAGTCCAGAATGTGGCTTGAACAATCGGATAAGGACGATCAGTCAGATCTGTGAAGTAGCAAAAACTAAGAAGTTTGAAGAGGTGAGTCCAAAGAGCTTCCCTGTCAGGAGGAATGAGGAAAACGTTGTTCATGGTGCTCTTCTGTGTCAGTTCAGCCCGTCTGGTCATCTGTTATGAATATTGCTGGCTCACTGCAGATCGTTTTATGGGTGTAAGTGGTAAGGGTTTTTTTTTTAAAAAAAAACACTGTATAGTATTTTCCCCGTGGCAGGAGGGGGCTGATGGAAGCTGAGGGTGTGATGACTTGGATAAACAACAGGAGAGCAGTTCTTTTGAACCCATCGTCTCTCACTAGGAGATGATTTTCCTCCTTTTTTTGCCCACCTCACATTGATCAGCCTCTGGGTGAGATGTCGTATGGCATTCGGGTGAAATCTTAGCACTAAAGCCTCTGTTGGAAGAATACTGATGATTCAGTCGCTATATCTTCCAAGACAGAAAAAAAAACTACGCTGGGAATTGGTTTTACTTTGTTCCCGTTATAGTGGCTTTGCTGCAGAGCAAACGAGTGAAATCTGTTTGATTAGGACTGATTAGGGGGGGGAAACGTGACAAGAAGCAACCACTAACCGGAATTAGCAGAGAGTGCACTGAGATGTAGCCAAGTTCTACTTGGTGGTATATTTGCTTATATAAGAGGCACATATATAAATATGTATGTTGTGCTTAAAAAAAAGGTGGGCAGAGTTTTAGTGGTGGTCATGTAAGGTTTGCATATCTTACTGTGGCTAATTGACCAGATGCCAGAGCATGTGTCTCCGGTGTGCCCCCCAAATGCATAATCTATGTATCAGCCAAGCAACTCAACACCTCGTAGATTATCCGCCACAGGTTACACAAATCTTACACTCATACTGACAGGGCTGCAGCCAGTGTTTCTTTGCCATGGGCCATTACAAATGAGCATCGATGACTCCTCTAACTTTTCTGGACTTTCAGCATGCAGTGGAAGCTATCTGGAAGGTGGTGGCTGACATGCTGCAGCCGGATCGGCCGGCCGAGGCCAGGCATGCTGTGTTGCATCTGCTGACGGCGATCATTCAAGGACAGGTAAGGCCTGGCGTCCACCTGCGGCACGCTTAAACCTTCAAATGTAACGGGCCCGGTTTGCTGGCCAAAGGAAACTAGAACAGCAAGAATTCTGGAGGAGTCTCTGCAGACAATTCTGTGGCAGCAAACAGGATGTGCAGGTGGATCTGACGTGGCTCGCGTGAGCCCGTAGAAAGCCTGCTTGGTGGACGTTGGTAGCCATGACTCAAGAAGCCACCGTCTCTTTTTATCTTCCAGGGTGAGAGACTAGGGATCCTCCGAGCCCACTTCTTCAAAGTGATCAAAGATTACCCTTCCAACGAAGACTTACATGAGCGGCTTGAGGTGTTCAAGGCTCTTACGGATAATGGAAGATACATCATGTACTTGGAAGAAGAACTGGGTAGATCCCTTTTCTTAAATTGCTGCTTTAACGGTGTTGAACTTTTCCATTGGGAAAAGAGAGTCTAGACCCTGCGACGGGATTAAGGGTCATGATGACAGATTATTCCGTCTACTCGTGATGTAACAAAGTGTTATTCATTATATCAAACTGCTAGGTATTGTCAGGATATTTAGCAGGAGGCTCACAATTCAGTAGGAGTAGAAATAGGCATCTGTTTTGCCAGCCAGTTCTTTTTCTCTGCTTCTCCTGCAGCTGAGTATGTTAAGATGAAGGTGGATTCTCTACCCTTCTACATTTTGGTGTCCCAGCAGTCTGCTGCAGCCTGACACTAGGGCCAGTATCCTGTTGTATGTCTCAGCTAGAGAATAAAGCCATTGAATCGACTGTGGAATAGCAAGTTGGTGGGTCTTCTTGAGACCAGCAATAGGATATTTATCCAGTGCAACCCCGTAGGTTGACACCTGGTGCTGAGTTAGATGTGTGGCCTATCTAGGCAAGTACTGCGGACTCTGACTGGCAGCCTTGATTCCCCAGGGGTAAAGACAGGTCCGAGGACCAACAGGCAGCCAAGACAGTGTGCGCTTAGCTTTGTTGCATGGCGATACTGTTGGCTTTTCATTTCCCTGCCTATGTTAGCCCTTTAAGGATGAGTTGACAGGTACATTTCGGTCGTCTGTGAAAAAGTAAATGCCCACATCAGAATGTAAAAATGGTGAGGATCCATTGAACACTCCCCAGTGGCCCATGGCTGCCTCCTCTTAGAAACACACCTACGTGGGCCTGATCCAGCAAGGCTGTTGTTACAGCCTCTTAACAGAGGCACAGCTGGTAAATAGTGGGTTGGTCAACAGGTGCCTGAGGAGTTGCCTTATGCCTACCAAATGCTTTCAGGAGCTCATAAAGTCAGCAAAGCGAAGCCAGCCAGCTCTTTTTCTCTGCTTCTCCTGCAGCTGAGTTTGTCCTTCGGTGGATGCACGTTGGCTTGACTTCGGAGTTCCTGTTGGTGCTGGTTAACCTGGTCAAATTCAACAGCTGCTACTTGGATGATCATATTGCTGACATGGTCAAGTAAGGCTTAAACCTCAGATTCTAGGCTGCCCCGACTGTGGGATAAATGGGTGCGGGCAAGGTTGGCGGGTCTGAAGGCCAATTTTCTTGAACCTTTTGGGGCTGCCGGAAGTGACAAGAAACCAAAAATCCCCCCCATCCACGCTGCCATGAAATCGGATGTAGCCAGAAGGCCATTTTCCATTTGGAATTTGGGGGGTATTGGATGATGTCGGTAAGGCTGCAACTGGTCCAAAAAAACAGCTGTGCCAGAAAGTTTGAAGCCGCTGCAATTCCCCTGCCTTAGCCGGAAAAAAGTGGGATGGAGGCAGCCGGAACAGCCCGCTTGAAATGCCAGGGCCTGCACTTTGCTGCTCCTGGTTAAAATGACAGGGTGACTTCCCCAAAGGTATGTTGCTATGCTCAGGCACTGCTAGCTGATGAATTTGTAGTGTGCTTTTAGTAGTCTTGATTGAAGCCATGTGACGTTGCGCTTGTCAGCTGGTGGCAGCAACACCAGGGGGCTGCAAATCAGCCGCAAGCATATGGGGGGAGGAGGGTTATTCTGCCAGCTGACCCTCCTGTATCAGGAGCGTCTCCTCAGCATGCTTGAGCAATTTCAGTCTAGAGTTCATGGGTTAGCGGATGCATTGTTTCTAAAACTCAAAACAGACTCCTAATGATGTTTTCTTCTCCTCTAGTATGATTTGCCTCTTGTGCATCCAGACCTCTTCGGCCGTTGACATTGAGGTCAGTCATCGGGTAAATACTGTAACCATTTCAAAACACCATTACTAGCAACAGTAAATATGGGATCCCCCCCCCCCAATTTTGCGAACTGATCCTTCTCCCTTCCTGCTGGAATCCTCTCCAAGGATCTTCCTTGACACCACATTTTCCCCCTCTCCTATTTATAATCTCTTCTCTGGCCTCTGTAAACTCTTGGTTTGGGCGCCCAACTCAAATCATGGCCTCCTCAAGGCGATTTTTTTGGTCGACACGTCCACCAGTCTTGTGCTGAAACACCCACAGGTTGGCTTTTGCTTCCTGACCCTGGAACGGTCTACGCTCACCTCACTTTTCTCTTTCTTATTGATGAACTCTTAATGCACTTGGTTGCCCTCATCCTTTTCTGCTCTCCCACTGTCTCTTTCCGCCCACGTGCTTTGTCATGTTAGCTGCCAACATGTAGCTGACCAGCTCTCTGGGGCAGGCCTCTTTGCCTTCTGCCTCAGTTGGGCGTCAGAGTGACCGTTCCCAAGTCCCAAAGGCGCTCATGACGTGCGTGATTCACAGCTTTCTCTCTCCTTGGTCTTCCCAGATTTCCCTCCAGGTTCTGGATGCCGTGGTCTGTTACAATTGCCTGCCTTCTGAGACCCTCCGCGCCTTCATCATTACCTTGTGCTGGACCATCAACGTGAAGGAACTGTGTGAGCCTTGCTGGAAGGTCAGTCTTCGTTCCCGGGGTGGCCGTAGGAAAGCAGAATGGCGAAGAAATGAAAACCCGCAAGTACCTTGGCACTTGCTCCATTTACTCGAGTTACAAAGCCCGTTTGGCCCCCTTCCCCCCCCTTTTATTTTTTTGGCTTTCAGGCGTTCTCTTGGGTTTTGTGCAGAAGAAGGTCTTTAGTCTAATTCCCTGCCTTTGACCTGCAGAGGCCAGAGTGTGGGTCTGTGAAGCTGCAGCCCAGGCTCTTGCTGTGTCCTCTAAGCCTCCGCGAACTAATTTTGATGAATTTTCAGCTTTCTTTACAGCTTTCTTAACTAACATCACCAGTTAATTTGGTAGCAGACTGCACGGTTCCTGTTTCTGTGACTATGCATTTTCTCTGCTATAAAATGGAGGATTTTTTTTTCCTTTCCAGGCCTCTGCGCCCGGGGCTTCTTAACCCCTAACGATGCCTCCATGTTTTGCTTTCAGCTCATGCGCAATTTGCTGGGAACTCACTTAGGGCACAGCGCCATTTACAACATGTGCCGAATCATGGAAGACAGGTAAGGTTCGTTTCACCTGCAGTGATCTCTTCTCTCCCTGGGGAGGGAGGGGTCGAGCGCGTGTCGCAGGTATAGCAAGAGCACCCGAGTGGGCACCCTGGAGTGGAGGGATCGTGGCCGGCCACCCTGCGTCCACTGAACCTCTGGAATGTTTTCCCAAAGCTTGTGGCAGACAAGGCTTCACATTGCGATGTTCCTAATGTGGTGCCGTTCAGATGTCCTCGAGCAAAGGGTTCTAAAGGCAAGGAAGGTCTCGCCTTGTTTCATGCGGCTCAGTGACTTCTCTGAGGCCAGCGCATAATGGTGGTGGTCGTCTCGGAGAACGTGGAGGTGGTTTGCCTCTGCAGCTCCTTTCCTCCACTTCTTTTCTGGTCCGGAGGAGAAGCTCCTCTTACGATTTCATGTCCTACTACTGTCACCGTCCGTGGCTCCAAAGGACAACGTGCGCTGTGCCAATGAGCAGCGTGGAGATGATGGGCCTTGAAGGGGAATTTCTGTCCACACCCCAAGAAAGCTTGAGGCTGTCTCTCTCTCCCGGAGCAGCCGGGCACCCTCCCCTCCACTGATTTAGGAGCGTTTGTGAACTTTAAAAAGGCTGGAAGACTCAGACAGACGTTCTGAACGTGCCCTGAATGCCTCGCCTTGCCCCTTGTTTTCAGAACCTACACGGCAGACGCGGTCCTCCTAAGAGGCGCCGTGTTCTTTGTGGGGATGGCCTTGTGGGGCGCGCATAGGCTGCCGTCACTCAAGAACTCGCCAACCTCGGTCCTGCCCTCCTTTCTGAAGGTAACTCTATGCTCTGGAAGGCTCCTTGGAACAAGGGTAGGGGAGGCACTCCCTGGTGAACTATTTTGCTTGGAGAAAACGTAAGATAAAAATGCAGCAAAAGTCTCCTTGGGCATGTGAAGCAGGAGGGAATCCAGTAAAGGGTTGCTTTTGTCCTGGTTTTAAATCCTTTCAAATAGTAGCCATGGGATATGTGTGGCGGGAGGAGAGGGGGCTTGTCATCATCCCTGCCCATGTCTTTGTCTGTGACAGCAAAGCCACCCAACAGGCCGCAGCGCCATCACCGTAACCTTGCCATTTTGGGCCGCATCCTCTCCAGGTACCCGGCTGTGGTCCTCTTGCCTGTCCACGGATGACCACTGGCTTGCTTTGCTCCTTTTCGGTGCCCCCGAAGGAGTTCAGCGGAGCGGCTTGCTCCAGTCTCTCCGTTTTGCACAGCAGCTGCTACCCTGCGGGCGCAGCCGCCAGGGGGACGAACAGGGAATCCGGTCTTGTCCTGGCGTTTCTGGCCAAGTCGGACTCCCGGTAGGAGGGGAGTTCCTGACCATCAGAGTTTCCCTTCTAGGCGATGAGTTGTCCGAACGCCGTTGTCTCCTACGAAATAGTCCTTTCCGTCACGAGGCTCATCAAAAAGTACGGGAAGGAGCTTCAGGCAGTCACCTGGGACATCCTCCTGGATATAATGGAGCAGTTGCTCCAGCAGTTGCAGGTAAGGACGGAGCCTGTTTCAGTGGCCAGACGGGGAGGCCAAAAAGGGGAAAGGAATTTGCCTGGGCGTGCAGCGTCCTGGAGAGGAAAATGCTGCCCCACTTCAGAATTTCAACAGATCTTTAAAATGGCATGAAAGAGCCATTGTGGAAAAGTCACCTGGACAGCTAGTTTTAGCAGCTCCTGGTGTGTGTTGCGCTTAGGAAGGATGTAGGCTGTGTTCCCCTCTCCCCTCGCCCCCAGCAAGGGTCAGCAGGGAGAGCATTGGGAGCTGGTAGGATTTGCTCCGTGGGCAGATCCGCCCCACGGGCTTCCTTTGGGTTCTTCTGTCTTCTTCCAGACCTTAGATAACCCAGAGCTGAAGTCCATCGTCCATGACTTACTGACCACGGTGGAAGAGCTGTGTGACCAGAACAACTTTCATGGAGCCAAGGACAGATACTTCGAGCTTGTGGAGAGATGTGCTGATCAGCGACCTGTAAGACTCGGTGGAATCTGGGAGAACACCTACCTCACCCCCTCCATTCCCCATTGTTTGTGACTTCCATAGAGAGTGTTTGAACCCTAACCCCACCCCCCTTGAGAAACATGTCTTGAGCAGGATGAAAAGCTGCTGTTCCACATGCTCAGAGCTGCTTAGAAAACCACTGTAGTCCAGTGCACGTCATAAAAACCCATCAAGAAATACAGAGATGAATAAAGCACAGCTATAATAACTAGATTGTTCAGTGCAGGCGGACTAGAAGTATTTTATCCTAATGATAAGAAGGCATAGCTGGAACCGAGCTACCAGAACTAAAGAATCCACTGTAACCAGCCCTTTGCGCAAGGTTTAAGCCACGCTTCCGTGGACGACAGCGTGGTCTGAGATTGCTTCCTTTGTGATGTGTTTTTCTAAAGGCACACAGTGCTTGAGTTTATTTTAGCTGCTCTCAGAGAGGCGTGTGTGACAAAAATACTACGTGGATCCATAAATGTGGGTCCTGGAAGGGAATATTTTGACCCAAAGTGCTTGAGGGCGAGGGGAGCCCCGTTGATTCATGGACAGATTCTCTGCGGTTTCTTCTTTGATGGTCTCTCCGTTTACAGCTTTCCTTTATTCAGTCGTTAGAGGCACTGATCTGTTCGTTGGGTTTTCTTTTTGAAAAAGGAATCTTCTGTTCTGAACCTGATCACCTACCGAGCGCAGTCCATCCACCCTGCAAAGGACGGCTGGATCCACAACCTGCAAGGACTGATGGAGAGGTTCTTCAGGTAGATCCTTTGCAGCTGGAGCCTTGGCTCTTCTGTTATACCACCTGCCTTACAGCCTTTTCCGCACATTGGCCCCGTCTGAAGGGAGGACTGTGTTTAAGCCCCATCAATTCTAAGTCATATTAATGACAGAAGTGTTAAATTGTGCCTTTTTTTGACTAAGTTACCCCCGTTTCCAAGAGCAGGACCATAATATTAAGGGTGGGGTATCAATTATTTCAGCATCTGTTGGAGGCCAGCAGCTGTTCTCTTGAAGCCTTTGTTGTGCATTATATGGAGAAGAAGATGCAATGCATGTCCTTTCTCCTTTCAGAGAAAGGGAAGCATGTTTTTCTCTCCTTTCAGAGAAGTGTTATCTGCTCTTTTCCCGTAGAAATGAGAGCCGGAGCGCCATTCGCATCAAAGTTTTGCACGTCCTGTCTTTCGTCCTGAGTGTCAACAGGCAGTTCTATGAAGTAGGTCTTCCTTCCCAATTCTGGGACAGGTCGGGTGGTGTCGCAAGATCAGGCAGCCTGAGCCAGCTCTCAAAAATCGTCTCCTTCTGCAGGAAGAGTTGATTAACCTGGTGGTGATCTCCCAGTTGGCTCACATCCCGGAAGATCAGGACCCCCAGGTCCGCAAACTGGCCACCCAGCTGCTGGTCGACCTGGCCGAAGGCTGCAACACCCATCACTTGAACAGCTTGCTGGATATCATAGAAAAGGTGAGGTGGCCGTTCGGGACCCTGGCCCAGGGCCGCCAAGACTCTGCCCTGGCTAAGAGGGGGTGCGCCTGCTTGAGACAGAAAACGGGGATTTCTTCTGTCAGTCTCAAGACGTCGGACAGCCTTGTCATGGCGAGCAGACACCTTTCTGCTAAAGCGTTTGGTTTGCTCTCTTCCTGCCAAGGTTGCCTCTCATTCGCTGTTGCCTCCCGCTGAGCTGGAGGAAAGAGATCTGCTCTCTTATTCCGCCTCTTTAGAGGACGTCAAGACGGCGGTGCTGGGCTTACTGGTCATCCTCCAGGTAAATGCTGCGCTCGGTTTTGACGCGGTCGTCTCTTTGGGAGTTTTCGGCGGGAAAGAAGCAACGTGAGCAGCTGTCCCATTTCTTCGACCGTGATACCCCAGTGCCAGTTCGACAGGTTCCTTTTTCCCATCCTTGTAGACAAAACTGTACACCCTCCCAGCCAGCCACGCCACCCGTGTCTACGAGATGGTGGTCCATCACGTTCAGCTCCACTACAAATACAACTACAGCCTCCAGATTGCCAGCAGCATCCGGTTGCAGGTGAGAGAGAAAGAGTGTGCCGACCGGCTGACCTGGGCCCAGCGCAAGAGTTGCCCGTGGGGAAGAGGGAGGAGAGGTGCTGCTGCTTCACTCCATGAGCCACGGCGCATGCAACATGAGCTATAGAGAGTGTGCCGGCCGACCTGGGCCCAGCGCAAGAGTTGCGCGTGGGGAAGAGGGAGGAGAGGCGCCGCTGCACTCCGTGAGCCACGGCGCATGCAACATGAGCTATAAGTTTATAAGTCTTTTATTCTAGCTTCCAAGGACTCCCACCCACCCCCATCTGCCATGATGGAGGGGTGAAAGGAAGAGGAGGGGGTGGTCCCAGAAGAGAGGCTGTGGCTGGATCGGGAGATCCCACAGACTGGGAGTTCTCTGGCCCCCATCCGTAGGAACGGAGTTTCTTGTTCTCTTCTGCTGTTATGGGACCCCTTTCTCTTCGGAGTCTTTCCACACATTCAGAAACCCCAGAGGACTGCCTGGTTTAGGGCTGAGAAAATCCTTTGCCTTGAAATGTTTAAGGAACCCGGGGAGGGGGATCTGCCTTCTAATATATCTCTCTCTTGCTCTCTCTGTGTTTTTTGAAAAGGTCTTTGACTTTTTGCTCTCCCTCCGGGCTGACTCTCTGCACCGGCTGGGCTTGGCCACCAAAGACGGGCCTGTGAGATTCAGCCCCTACTGCCTCTGCGATTTCATGTACGTTGCTTTCGGTGGGCTTGCCATCCCTTCTGAGCTTGCCATCGGGGCCCTCTCAGCCGGATGGCTTTAGTTTCACGGTGACCCGAGTCCCTCTCGCTGAAGCCCTCGAAGGCCCCTGGCTTCTCGCTTGGAATGGGCTGCATGAAGGGGTAGGCAGTGCAGAGGCTGGGTGAAAGACCTGTCTCCTGTCCCACCTCCCAGGGAGCCTGAAAAGAAACCGGCTGGCACCCTCTCTCCTCCCCCCGGGAGCCCCATCGTACACCCCCAGGGCACGGCTATCCGGACGGGTCACCTGCCCTTCTCGCTGCTCTTTGGGGTCCTTCTCCAGTGCTTGAAGCAGGTGAGTGACGTGGACCAAAGGAGGGGGGTGGTCTCTCTGGTTGGGGACTTGAGTAACGGGCAGCGTTGGGCTGAACTTAGGGCGACCGCAGGCCGAAATGGCAGCGGAGGCGGGAGGGGGCTGTCCTTCAAGTTCACCGACAGCCTTTGGGAATAAGCGTTAGATTTTCTTCTCTGAATTTGATGATGCACCAAGTACAATACAATAAACCGAGAAATTTCAGACTGCAGTACAGTATACGATCCATTTACCGACATGGTATCGGGAAGCACATGAAATGTACAGCACCACATGAATGATAATAAACAAATGCTGATAATTGGTCTTGATCGGATCCTGTATGAAAAAATACCTAATTCCAGGCAGAGCAATTCACCTGTTTGACAATCCGGAACAGCTGAGGATGGAACCGTAGCGGTTCAGACTCGGCTTCTTAGACAGACCTTGTCAAGCACGTGGGGGTCTTTCAGGCAGCCCTTGGGGGGGGGTCTCCTGGTTTTGGGGTTGGACCTCTTTTGCGCAGACAGGCTGTCCGTTCTCTCTGGCAGCAAATCCCCGGGGTCTGGGCAAAAGAGACCGCCCTCCACCCTTTCCTGCAGAGGTTCCAGGGGCGGCCCTTGAGCCCCTAATTCTTTGCAAAGCACGGAATCCAGAGCACTCGGGCCCCAGCTGTCTCCCTAATCCTCTTGAAGCTGACTGCACACTTCGTCCTGGGTGTTTGGTCTTCTTTCCCAGGAGACTGACTGGAAAGTGTTGAAGCTGGTCCTGAACAAGCTGCCCAAGTCTCTGCAGTATAAAGTGCTCTACTTGACCTCCCCTTGCAACGTCGATCATCTGTCTTCAGCCCTCTGCAATATGGTGAGGGGGGGGGGCTTCACGGCTGGGCTGCTTTTGACCTGGAGGGTCGCCTCATCCTTCCCGGTCGTGTTTGAATGACACCCTCTAAGCTTCGTGTCAGGACAGCCGGACGCATGTAGAAAGGTTTTGGGTGGGGTTCCCTACAGCTGGGGAAACATACTCTGAAACCTCCCCGCCGTGTTTGGGGAATCAGGACTTGACTTGCCTTGACGGTGGGAAAGTGAACTTTTGTAGATTGTACTGTTTTATGCCAGTTCCTCCATCCAGGCTGCTGTGATCACGGATCAGTATCTCCCCTCCTGACCGCTGTCCTTCTGGTTCAGTTTTAAGCCCTCAGCTTGACTTCGCCCTTTGCTCTGTCGCTTAACCTGCTCTTCGGTCAGGCCCTGGTCTTTAGATCTAGCATCTGGTCATAAAACACCCCCTCTAGGTTTGAATTTGCATCTGGCCAGATCCAGACTTCGATCTGAGAGCATTTTGGTTTACAGGCAGGATGGAGAAGCGCATAGTGGTTCAGGACCTGGGTTCCCACGGGCCAGAGGGTGCCAGGCGATGGGGCTGATGGTCACAGGATCCCCAAGCAATGGGTTGGGTGCAGTTAGTCTCCCTGAGAGTCACTTTGATCTGCCTTCTCCCCAAGCGGGAGGGATTTGAGGCGGTGGAAAGCCAGGAAGGAAATCTTTCCCTTCTCTTTGTATAGGTGGATGATTCCCAACCTTGGGGTCACCCATGGCTTCTTGGACTGCAACTCCCAGAAATCCCGGCCAGCACAGCTGGTGGTGAAGGTTTCTGGGAGTTGCAGTCCAAGAACCCCTGGGTGACCCAGGGTCAGGAGCCACCGGTCTAGCTGATAGTGGCACCGCTACAATTGATTATAACTTTCACAAGCTTTGCCAGCTTACAGACAAGAAGATGACGGAGCGGCTGCGGGGCATCCCGGAAGGGCTTTCCCGGAACGACTTGCACCTGGCAGTGGTCCCTGTGTTGATGGCTTTGATCTCCTACCACAGTTACCTGGACAAAGCCAAACAGGTATGGCATGTGGGGGGGTGGGACTTGGTGGAGGACAGCAAGTGGGGCTTCAGCACCCTCTACGCCTTCGCCCTGCCAGGAGAGGGGGGCGCGCAGGTGCCAGCTTGAGCCTTTCTTTCCTTACTATGTAGGGACGGGTCTCCAGAAAAAAACCCTCTGCCACTGTTTGAGTGCTTCTCCCCCTAATATTCCCTTTCCTGTTTTGCCGTGTCCCTTTCCTGGTGACCGCGCCGTTCCGCCTGCCCAGTGGGAGGTGGTCTACTGTCTGGAACACGGACTGATTTCCCGCTGTGCCAACCAGTGCGTGGTGGCCCTGTCCATCTGCAGCGTCGAGATGCCAGACGTGATCATCAAGGCCCTGCCCGTGCTGATCGTCAAGCTGACTCACATTTCGGCCACGGCCAACATGGCCATTCCCCTCCTGGAATTCCTTTCGAGTGAGTTGGGAGTCTCCTGCTCTTTTCCTTTCGGGGTGAAAGAGGAGGACACCGGCGGGCAAGGAGCCCTCACGGCCGCTCCGTTGGCGGTCTTGGAAAACCTGCCGTACTTTTAGGGGCATTTAGATCATAGATGGTCGGACCCTCCACGTGTTGACAGCCCTGGGGACCAAGGGGACCTGTCTCTGTAAAGAGAGGACAAGATGACACCTGTACTTCCGCCGGGGGTGGGTGGGAGCGATTTGGTTCATGGCAGAGAAGCCCAAAGCTAAAAGCTGAGGTCTGTGAGCGCCTTCTTGTGCAGATCAGGTGTGTTTTCAACCAGGTGCCTGTAAAGAAGACGGTTGCGCACGTGCCAGCTCTTGCCCACAGGCTGACTTGGCTCTTTTTTCTTCCTCCTTCCATGGAAATATCTAGCATTAGCTCGACTGCCTCATCTTTACAGGAATTTCGCAGCCAAGGAATACGCCAGTGTGTTTGCAATCTCCCTGCCCTACACAAACCCCTCCAAGTAAGTTTGGGGCAGAGGGAGAGCTGGTCCTTGCATGGTTTTTGGCCACTGGGGCAGAAGGAAAGGCATCCTTTTTATTTATATTTTAGCCAAGTGCTTTTGACTTAGACGGCCAGCCCCTTTCTCCTCCAATCCTGCCTGCCCCGAGGGTCGATCAGCTGAGCTTGCATGGCCCACCCTCTCTGGCCCAGGCACGGTGTGGGGCCGCCTCCGCTGGCTCTGACGTCCTGGTGTTTGCTTACACCTATTTCTCACCAAACGTCCGAGTGACGAGCTGTGATTGGGAGCCACGGAAGGGCCCTCCATTGCAGTCCTGGCTCCCAGGGACTTGGGTTCTCCGTGGGGAGAAAGACAACATGTGAATGAATGAAGGAAGGAAGGCAATAAATAAATAAATGCAGCGGGCAGGTCTTTCTGCATCTGCCATTTTGGCCGGGTTCCTTTTATCCTTCCAACCTCGAGCAAGGAGCGTGGTCTTCTTCCTGCGGCTGCTCAATAGAATCGCTGGCGGAAGGTCTTCATTTCCTCCTTTCCAGGTTTAACCAGTACATTGTGTGCCTGGCTCACCACGTCATTGCCGTCTGGTTCATCAAGTGCCGCCTTCCTTTCCGGAAAGACTTTGTGCCCTACATTACCAAGGTGAGCTGATTTGTGCTGTGCGGAAGAGGTCAGAAACGGCAGGTTCCTCCACACCCTTCTCGGCAGGGACTGGCTGCCTAGGCAGGCCTGCAGGAGCTTGCTTAAAGGCAGGGGATAATTGCAGCCAATCCCTCTGAGCAGAGTTGGGGATCTCACTGGAGGGGGCAGCCCCCTCACCCTGAGCTCTGGATTCAGACAGCGGTGGGGCCGCGAGCGGTCCAAAGAAGCCCGCTTGCCCATGGCTTCTGGCCGGGAAGAGCCAACAGAGAGGGAAGCCGCCTTGCCTGAAGGCCAGCTGCCTCGGGTGTTTTGCAGTCTGGGCAGTCCTTTCTGCTGCTGTGTGTCCGATGCCCTCCAAAGGTCCGAGGTCATTCTCAACTCCCAGGCCCTGCTGACGTCGGTTCAGGACCCTGGGTGGGGAAAGGCCGTTATTGCTTGGAGGCTGGACAAGGCGGCTCTTTGGGGTTGGCGTTCATCAGTCAAAGCCCCTTTTCTTCTTCCCCGGCGGGCAGGGTTTGCGGTCGAACGTTCTCCTCTCCTTTGACGACACCCCAGATAAAGACAGCTTTCGGGGGCGCAGCACGAGTCTGAACGAGAGGCCAAAGAGGTGAGTGGCTCCCTTGGGCTCCCTCCGCTCCGTTCCCTGGTGTCCCTTGGTGCCTCCTCGAGGCTACTCCTACCTTCCTGGCAACTCTTAAGGCGAAGCCTCCTGTTAGTGAAGCGGTCTGAGGGAGCGCAGGTTGCAGGTCCCCGAAAGTCACTGTGCCCTTCGGATCGCTCCGCCCGGCTGCGACAGCCTTCCTTGGCCCGCCCTCCTCGTGCGGTGGCTGAGCCTGACTGTTTGTTAACACCAAACCGGGAGCTTCTTTGTCCCTCGGGCCGAGGAGGCAAAGAAGCCAAGCTTTGCTGCTATTTCCCGTTTTATTTAGGGAGAGCGAGAGTTGTCTCGACACCACCTGCGTTGTTTGCCGTGGCTGTGTTTTGTCCGTCAGCAGCTGGCGTTTCTGACTGTAGCTGCCTCTGTGGCTTTTGTATGTTTCCTGTCCATGATAGAACCGGCACAGCAGCCGTCTGAAAAAGAAGTGTCCCGAACCGTGGATTGGCCGATAGCGTTTTTAGCTCAGCTCCTCTTCCACCTCCTAGCCTGGCTGCATAATTTGGCTTCAAAAACCAGGGCAGGCCATCAGAGTGGAAGGACCTTGCTACACGAAGGGCATTTGAGAAGCAGGGAATGGTTTAGATTCTGTCTTAATTAACCTGTTTGCCCAGATGTGCTTTGGCCCTTTCTTTCTTTCATTCCTGCCCCCTTGCAGCTCATTAGCCATATTTCTTTTTTCAACCATACCTGAAAGCCTTCCAAGGGTGTGATCCTAACTCTCAAGACTGCTGTGCGAAGTGTTTTGTGTGTATAAACGAAAGCTCAGTCCCTTGAGCCGTGATCTCCAAACGGGATCTTTCTCTTCTCTGATCATGTTCTGTAGATCCATCGTTTCCTTGTAAAATGTGATTCTGCCCTCTCCTGCCTTTTGTAAGTTCGCTGTGTTGGAATACTATTGATTTTTAAAGGTGTTTCAGTGCGTGGTTTTTGAAAACGGCACCAACATTATTCCTAAGATTGCAATGTTCGTGCCTGCTTTAATATCATGCCAGAGGTGTCTTGGGGAGTTTAACCCGCCCAAAAAGGCACTTTTGATGGCATATAAATGGCATTTGCACAATCTCTTTCTAGCCAGGAGAAAACACAAAAGAGTTCCAGAGTGCTTGGCGTAGGTTGAACCGGGCGTTCCAGCCTACAGAGCGCGACTGCGTCAATGCATTCGTTTCATCTCCTTTCAGCAGGAGGAATGATATTTTCCCCACCGCCACCACCCCTAACATGGCAGCATTCCTGTTCAGGAGTATCAAGCAGAAGGTAGCCACCCAACAGACATTTACCCAACAGCCAGGCCTCCACCGTCATTTCATAGGATTTTGTTTTGAGTCCAAAGAGCCTGGATGGTTGACCAGGGGTGCTCTGCGTTACCCCAAGCTCAGTCTCCTTCGAAAGTTGGCCCTGGGCTGTTCAGATCCACTCTTCCGTGCCACGGTGGGTTAGTTGGAGCAGCCTCTGAGCGTATGCAGAGTGCCGAACGTGGAACATATCCAGCTGCCTTTCCCCCCTCCCCCTTGCCCTGAACCCTTGAGGAGTCCAACGGCCCTCTTTTATTTTTAATTTGTGCAAATTCTGTTTTTGTTTTTTTTGTTAATCTCAATCTGGGTTGAAAGCGGGGAGGATGTTTGGCTTCCTGTTGGCTTTTGGTTTTGAAATATTTGTGCTTTTGAGTTACTGTTTTTTTTAACACCTGCTCCTTCCCCCACCCCCCTTTTTTTCCCTTTTTTTTTGGCACCCTGCTCTTTTCGTTGTCCTCGTGGTTTCCATCACCTCCGGGGACCTTGTGGCCTCTCCTCCACGTCCATCCTTCCACGGGTTTCCTTCCTCCTCTTTGTCTGGCGGGGGGGGGGCGCGCGACTGGTGCTGCTCCCCCACCCCTTTAGTAGTTTTAAACTAGCCAACAGTGCCAGGCAGAGCTCGAATAACTCTCCTCCCGTGAAAGAGCTGAAAGAACCCTCGGCTGTGGAGGCCTTCCGATCCCGCAGCATCAGTGTCTCGGACCATGCGGCCCACAGGTAGCGATGCTTGGAGAGGGGGGGCGGGCAAGGAGCGAGGCTGGCCTGCAGGGTGGCGAGGGGGGGTTGCGGCGGCTGGGTGAGCGCATTGTGCATGGTCCCCACCCCCACTTTTTTTCCTTTTTCTTTTTGCATGTCTGCCTGAAGAGTCGAGCCCTCCCCACTCCCTGCCATGCTAGGTCTGTCGGTGGCTCGGTGGCATGTTTCAGGGGCCGAGGCGGGGGGGGTCTGCTGCCACAGGCTTGGTTTGGCTCAGTTTGATGACTCCATGTTGCTTCGTTGTCCAGTTGCATTTCGTGTTGCTATGGGAATAGGAAGGCCTCATCAGTGTAGTAACCTGGCGTTAGACCATCTGCCCCCCCCCAAAAGTTCTTAGACTTGAACTCACAGCCACCCTGGCCATGCTCGATAAGAGTCGGAGTGGCTGTCTGGGAACAGCCAGTGAGCTGTCCATTTTCCTGCCCCGGGGAAAAGCCACAGTGGGAAGGGAGGCAGACATCCTTTAGATCAGAGGACTTTTGAGAGGCACCGTGCATTTGGAGAGAGAGAGGAGGCCCTGGTTCCTTTGGCCCAGCCATTCATGGGTCAGATAGGTTCTGGTTAGGGCTCATTTCTTTTATGTTCTCTGACAATAGTGATGGGATATGATGAGCTTAAAAACCCCATATGTAGCCTCTTTATTTCTTGGAGGTCTGCTTCTGAAACCGGATCAAACAGTGGTGACTCCCTCGTGAGAGAGGCTCGGGGGGCCGGCCTGTGCCCTTTTGTGTGCCTCTGCAGTTGGCTAGTACCGATTTGGAGCCAACGGGAAGGCCAGCCGGTCGTTCGTTGTGTTCCCCTTGCCCTCAACAGCTCTGTTCTAAGGCACGCAGTGTCGCACGTTCAGGAATCCAGGTTTCAAGGGGGTCCCGCCGGTCAACACTGGAGAATGTCCACCGTGGAGTCAGTTAAACAGATGGCAAAATTGGATAACGCCAAAGCTCTCCCCCTTCCTGCCCCCCCCCTTTGCTGCATGCTTGGTAGAGATTGCAAAGACGGTTCACCAGGTTCTTCGGGAGTGGGTTCGAAGTTTCACCATGGGTAAAATCTCCAACCTGCTTCTTTTCAGCCGGATCCAGACCTCCATCACCAGCTCCAGTCTGGGCTCTGCCGATGAGAACTCGGTGGCCCAAGCGGACGACAACCTGAAGAACCTCCACTTGGAGCTGACAGAGACCTGCCTGGATATGATGGCCCGCTACGTCTTCTCCAACTTCACCGCCGTGCCTAAAAGGCTAGTGGTGGGAAGCTCTTCTTGCGCTGGGTCCCGAGGAAACGGGTCTGCTGTTCCCCCCCTTTCCACGCTCTCACCCCTCCAGAGAGGCCCAGATCCTATGGATCTGCAGCACCTGGTTCAAGCACACTATTTTAAGGCCCCCCCCTCAGGCACCCACAAAATCTGATTTTCAGTAGTGGTTGGAAAGGAAGCCCCACTTAAAAGGGTCTGCTTGTTTCCCATGGTTGAAATCCTGCAGCGTGTAGGGGAGGGGGGGGAAACAAGCAAGCACGTATGTGTTTGTGGGTTGTAGTCATGCGGGAATGCTTGCTTTACATGGTCCCGCCAGTTAACTGTGGTTTTGCAGGGGAAAGGAGTGAGGACCCTGGCAGGTCCTGGGAGCAAAAACCTGGCCCCAAGACCGGCTAAAGCCGTCCACCTCCTCTTCTGTGCCCTGATGTTCATGGTTCCGTTTAGTTGTTCCCAACTCAAAAGGGACCCTGGAGTGTTGCGTTCCTCTGTGTGAAATAGCAGACCAAGCCCGAGCACGTGAGCTTTGCCTTGTCTTGATGGGATGCCGTATGGCTGGACACTCTCCTCCTTGTTAGGGGTAACCCTTTGGTGGGAACTCCATTGCTGAGAGATTGAGAGGTTTCCTCCCCCGGGTTTTAAATGACCTCCTGGCCAGACTGGCCTTTGAGAGGGTCTTAATGATCATTCAGTGCTGTTGATTCTTATGGTGGGGGTATTCTAGCTTTACATTTGTGCTTAGTGGAATTCGAATTAGCCGGCTGAGTTGCTGACAAGGTAGGACCCGCAAGCAGAAAATCGTTGTCCTATGTAGAATTCTTTGTTTGAATCTGCCATCAGAAGAAGCGTTGAGAACAGATGACCTGAAGGAACAGTTTGGTGGGCGAGATGTTGTCTTCCTCCGCCTACCTGTTAACTCTTATAGCTACGCCAAGCCTCCGCCGGCAAGGGCTCCTCCGCCTGCCTTTGGCGGGGAGAGCCAGTGCGTTAAGGCCTTCGCCTCTGGCCGGATGGCTGGCCGCCAGGCAGTTGGTGCTGCTCCCTTTGGGCCCTCACCGTCTTCTGCGTTTCCCCGGCCCCTTCTAGGTCCCCGGTGGGAGAATTCCTCCTGGCCGGAGGGAGGACGAAGACGTGGCTGGTGGGGAACAAGCTGGTGACAATCACGACGAGCGTCGGGACGGGCACCCGATCCCTTCTGGGCCTGGACTCCAGCGAGCTCCAGCACAGCACGGAATCCAAGTAAGCCAGAGGCCGGCTTTCCTCCCTTTTAGCCCGGTTGCCCGGTAAAAGGAGAGGAGGCCAGGGAATGTCTCAATTTGGCTTTTGCTTCTTCAGCTCCGACCATGTGTGGCAAGTGAGACAGGCCAAGGAGGCCCCCGCCAAGCTGGAATCCCAAGCCGGTCCTCAGGTGGCTCGAACCCGCAACCGAGTCAGGTCCATGTCTGGTAAGGAACCTTTCCCGAGGCGCTCGGCGACAGACACGCCTGGGGAGGACCGCCCGGGGCACCTGGATGGTTCTTCATTTTGACCCCGGGGCTTCTGGTCTTGGGTCTCCAAGCCGGTCCTCTTTCGCTACCCCAGGTGGCCACGCTTTGCGAGTCGGGGCCTTAGACAGCGCAGCCTCCCATCTGCCGGCCGGCGCGGGGCCTCAAGCAGCTCAGAGCTCTCCTGCTCCTCCTCGGGCGGAAAAGGGGGCCCTGCAGAAGGAGAAGGCGCACCTGGCTGCCTACGTCCCGCTGCTGACCCAGGGCTGGGCCGAGATCCTGGTGCGAAGACCCACAGGTAGGCGGAGCCGGCGTTGCTGTGTCGGGAAGAAGAAGCGCGTCGTAAATCTGTTCCCACCCCTCGTGTAAAGGCCGGACGCCCAGAAAACTTCTCTTGTTGGGTGAATCACCATTTAGCATAAATGAAGAAGAGCTTGTTCTGTTGTGACAGAAGCCCACAGTTCAGACCACTGGCCATTTAGTGGAATTCGGGAACAGTCTCTCTGAGACCTCTGCTAGAGTGTTTTTCATTTCTTGGCCCTAACGAGGGCTGTGGAATCAGCATGGGCTGAAACATGTTGGATGCTTTCAGGAGAGGGGGAAAAACACATTTCTTCTGTATCTTGAAGCTCTTTTCAGGTTGGGTTCTGTTTGGGCACTTCTGGTTTCTTTTATCTGTCAAACTGGGGAAATAGTCTTCAGTAAAATCAAATCAAGGTTCCTTTGCAATCTGTTGGAAGCCAAAGGACACCCCACCACCCCCCTCCTGTCGTGCAGGAGGACACTTAAATTCCCTGGGCCAGGGGTGGGATTGTTTCTGGGAATTGGTGAAAAGGGGGGGACTTCTCTTGCACGGGTGGCTATCCCGCCTCTCTTTCAAAACCCTTCAGGGAAGGGGCAAACAGGTTGTCCCCGAGGTGGTTCTGTTCCACTGCAAAACCACTGTGGGCGTTAGAAACGGGACCCCCTCGGCCTTCCTCTTCCCCCTGGAGCAGAGGGGGAAGAGACCTTGTGCTCTGTCCGGCACACAGTCCAGTCGGGAGCCCTTCTGGCGTTCCCCTGTGACCCGGTGGTGGTGGTCGGCGGCTTCTCTCTCCCCACTCCAGGGAACACCAGCTGGCTGATGAGTCTGGAGAACCCGCTCAGCCCCTTCTCCTCGGACATCAACAACATGCCCTTGCAGGAGCTCTCCAACGCCCTCATGGCGGCCGAACGCTTCAAGGAGCACCGCGAGACGGCCCTGTACAAGTCGCTCTCGGTGCCCACCTCCACTTTGCCCACCGGCACGGCCAAGCCCTCCCTCCTCCAGCGCTCCAACACAGGTGAGGAGGCCACGGCAAGGGGCTGGTCCGACGCCCTCGGGGGGGGGACCCGGGATGGTGAGGCGGGAGGGCCACCGGGGGGGGCGGGTGTGTGACCCATGCCAGACTGAGCAGCCTTGGAGCCAGCGAAGCGCAGGGCGGCCAGATCCCTTTGGCCTCGGAAGGGGTTGAGTGGGGGCCCTCTGCCTCTTGCCCAAAGTGGGGCTTTTCATCTGTTTGGGATACCAGGTGAGGACGGCAAGGGGCTGGTCCGACGCCCTCGGGGGGAGACCCGGGATGGCGAGGCGGAAGGGCCACCGGGAGGCGGGCGTGTGACCCATGCCAGACCAAGCGGCCAGCAAAGCGCAGGGCGGCCAGATCCCTTTGGCCTCGGAAGGGGTTGAGTGGGGGCCCTCTGCCTCTTGCCCAAAGTGGGGCTTTTCATCTGTTTGGGATACTTCAGTCACTGGGGGTCCTTTTTTCCCTTTTGGCTTCTGAAAAATGAAGATCAGTCGAGACAACTTAGGGTACACGTAGGGATTAAATGGTGACACTGGAAAGAAAAATACTGGAGAGAAAGTTAAATCATAATTAGCTGATTATGATTAGTTAAATCGCAACACACACATGCTTACACACTTACAGGGGTAAGAGAGAGAGAGAGAGGTGAACAGAATGTCCCTTTTCCCTGCGCCCCAGGCCTCCATGCTGGCTGCATCACCGAGTGGAATTGACCATTTGAGGATCTGATGCTTTCCTGCTTGATTTCCACTCTCCCTCCTTGGTTGGCCCCACATGCCGCCAGCTGTTCATTCTCTCCTTTTCTCCTGTGTGTTTGTTTGCAAGCCACCTCTCCTGATGCATTGCATTTTGTGCCCCTTCCTTCCTTCCTTCCTTCCTTCCTTCCTTCCTTCCTTCCTTTCGGTTGGTCGGTCTGTCTCTCCACCTACCACCAAAACCTACATTTTTGTTTTCCACGTGATCTATTTCTCCTTTTCGCTTTCATTTTTGATATAGCTCCTTCCTTGGTTTTTCCCTTCACAGTGGCTTCTTTCTCTTCTGTGTCCCTGACCATTTCCCAAGAAAGGTTGTACAGGAGCATTTCCTGGGCAGGTATACGTGAAAGGGCAAGAAAGGGGTGGCTGTGGGTAGCAGGTGGTGAAGATGCTGGAAGCGTCACTGCAGGGATTTTGTGGAGGCTTCCCCCCCCCGCGTGCTTCTGTTTTGCCCCCCCACCTGTCGGTGTCTTCTGCCTGTCCCCCGTCTTCTTGCACTCCAAAGATGGACATTTTCAACAAGCCTAAGGGCATCCAAGCCAAACGATGCCTTTCTTTGCCCAAAATTGGCTTTGGCCAAGGAGCTCAAAATTGGCTTTGGCCAAGGCAGGGCAGGAGGTTACTTAGAGATGTCCCTGTACAGCAAAGAAATGGTTAAAATGTTCAGTTTAAATACAGTGGCACCTCTGAGCTTTGTAAAAAAATGATGGTAGCCATAACTCAGTCACAGAACACATCTTGTACATGTGGGAAACCCCAGATTCGATCCCCAGTATCTCCTACTCAGGCAGGAAAGCCTGCCAGTTAGAACTGGGACTACTGGGGTAGATAAACCAGTGTATAATCTAAGTCGGTATCAGTGCAGCTTCTGATACTGGCATTTCGTATTTTCTTGCTCCTTCTATCAGTACAAGCAAAATAAAAATATAAAAAGAAATCGAAAGAGAAAAATCTTGTGGCATCTGAAAGGCTGTTATATTTGAACACAAGCTTTCCTGGATAAAATCCACATCCTGAGACATTATAAGAGAGAGAGAGAGAGACAGGATGGCTCTTTGTAGTTCTTCTTTCCTTTCCAGAGCCTTTTCCACCTTCTGTAACTGTTGCTTGTTGAAACGGCTTCCACGGCAGCCACGAAGGAGTCGAGAAATGTCACCTGTACTCAGAGCAGAGGCGCGTTCCGGGTGTGTGTGTGTGTCTGCCCGGAGGGCCAGTCTGTCCGTGACCGCCTGGGTCCGTGTGGACCCAACAGAGGCACAAAACAGAAGACCATCCTCCGCGTTGGCTTTAGGGAGTTTTGCTTGGGGTCCTGCTCAGCTGGCAAGGGGAGGTTCCCAAGCAGAACGGAGGGGCAGAACAGCCCATTCCTGTGTCGGGGAGGAATATCTGCCGCCATCCAGTTAGTTCATTTTTTCAACTTATCCAAAGCCTAGTTATCTCAATAAACAAATAAACAAAAAAAGGCATCAGAAACCTCGTCTGGAGCGATCCTGGCTGGAGGCATTGAGCGGAGGAGCCGTTCTCTTGATTGGGCTGGTGAGCAAGGGGGGGGGGTCACCTGTGGTTCGTCCGGCTGGTTTGTCGATGTGGCACGCGAACTGAGAATTCCTGCTTGTTCTTGCAAGTTGCTGCCGGGTTGGTAGTCCTTGGCCGTGTTCGGTTTTTTTTTGCCTGGTTTGTTGCTCTGTGTTGCACCTCCGTTTCTCTTTTATTAAAAGTGTCTTTTGGGGAAATTAATCCTTGCCTTTGCAATTGACCTGTCTGGCTTCTGCATGTTAGGCAAGGCCTTTTAGGCGTCCGTTTGGAGAAGCCCTTCCTCCCTGCGCCTACCCCGGTCTGCCAAGGGAGCCCCAATTCCCAACTTAGAGGGGTGGGCGATGTTCCTCAGAAGAGTCATTGGTAGCGAACGCCAAAGCCTTAACGGGGAGCTTCTGAGTTCTGCTCTGTTGCAAACAGCCTGCGTTTCTGCCAGCCCTTGTCTCTTGGCCTTTCAGCCAAAAGGGGATTGTGGGGCTGGCCTTCTTAACAACGGCTGTGGTCTGTATCACTAGGACGCCATGTAGGAGAAGCCCTTTGAACACCCTAATCGCCAAAATTATGAATGAGAAGGTCCAGCCTGGTGCACTGTGCCTTTCTTATTCGTTGTGCTGCAGAGAACCAACCTTTACTGTTGCAAAAAGAGAAGATAAAAAACCAAACCTTTTAAGGAAGGGAGGTTTGTTTGTTTTTTAAAGCCTCCACAAGGCGGGAGGGTTTGTTAGCAAAGGAGGTGAGCCTCACCCATCACCCGTTGAGAGTGGCCCCCTTGGCTCAGAGGAAGGCTGGAGCACGCGACACAACAGGGCTCCTGCCCGTATGGATGCGTCTCGGTGTGTGTTTCAGTCCCGCTGCTCTTTGGGTCTCTCAGTAGAGTCCGCAGTCGTGCCGGAAGAAGGAAGCCCGCCGGACCCAGACCTGAAAGAAACAGAATCCCCTCCTGAGGCTCAAGAGATTGAAGACTTTGAAGGCACGTCTTCAGAGCAGGGCCCCGGCGAGGAGAGGCTAAGCAGGGGCCATGGGGCTTACAGTAGGGTAAGGTGACCTCTTTTTTCACTGGTGGGGAATGGGACACAAATGGGGGGTGGGGGAGAGTAGAAGGTGACGCTTTGGTGCCTTGTTGAGTCCTTGCATGCCCATCTTGCCGCTCTGTGGGCAGTATTGCTCTTAAAAAGCTGGCCTGACAAAACTCCATTGAGTGGCAGGTTTTGGTCCCATCTTTTGGCCCATCTGAGCCTCGGAGGGAGTCCCCGGCCCTTCTGCCTCTACATGGCAGCGGCCATAAGGCTCATCTGCTGGGGCCTTTGTTCCCTTTTACATACAAGATTATACGACAGCCGTTCACCTTGGGGACTGTGTGTGGTCCGGAAATCTGAGTTTCCTCCCTCCTTGGCTGAGGCCGGCTAGGGTGGATAGGAGTGAACGATCCAGCGGCTTCAGGAGGACCACGGGACAGCCCAGCCCTGCTCCAAAATGGTGTGCTGTCTCCCATCTGACCAGCCGCTTCAGGAGGAGGGGAGTCAGCTCTCTCTGTTTGGGGATGTCCCGTAAGGCCATGTCTCTTTACGGCCACGTCCCGGCCAGACGGCTAGCTGGGGAGGGCAAGCTGCTGTTTGAAGGGGCTGGCTGTTCTTTTCTTCTCCCTCCCCTGCCTCCCTCCCTCCTTCCCCCCTTTGCCCCCTGGTGTCCTGTAGTCGTCCTCAACGTCCAGCCAGGAGGAAAAAGCACCGAAGCCAGGAGACTTGGCCGCCGTTGGCATTCCCATCAAAAGGGGCAGGAACCTGGAAGACAGCCGCGAGTTTGAGGCCCTCTCTTTCCAACCTTCTCAGCCCCTCAGCAAGTCCAGCTCCTCGCCGGAGCTCCAGACCCTCCAGGAAGTCCTCAAGGATCCCAGCGGTGAGGATCCGGCCGGGAAACTCAGCAGCGACGTGAAGTCCAAATCCCAGTCGGGGCACTTGGAAGGAGAGCCGGCCGGGTGCTGGATGGGAAGAGGGGAGGACGACCGGGTCTCTGGGGGAGCCAGGCTGAGCTCTGGAGCCCCCGCCTCCTCTTCCCCCCACTCCCCGACGGGCCATCGTCCCCGAGGGTACACCATCTCGGACTCGGCGCCCTCCAGGCGAGGCAGGAAGATCGAGAAAGACCCCTTGACGGGCAGAGCCGCAGCCTCCAACGCTGAGAAGGTGCCCGGCATAAACCCCAGGTGAGAGCCACGTCTGCCTAGAGAGCCCTGGCCTCTTGGGGACCGGCTCGCTTGGCCTGGAAAGCTTGGCTAAGAAAGCTTCAAAGCTAAATTCAGAGAATAACAAAAATCATTTACTTATTTGTTTAATTCCTGTATTGCCCAGCTAGTGAATGGAGGGTGAAGCCGGGCGGGAACCAGCCAGATTGACCAACCTGAAGGCATTTCATTTGTGTTTCCTCCTCGTAGTTTTGTGTTCCTGCAGTTGTATCATTCCCCTTTCTTCGGCGATGAATCCAGCAAGCCCCTCCTGTTGCCGAACGAGGTACGCTTCCAGTCACGGAGCACTGAGTGCGAATTACGGGTGGGGCGTGGGGAAAATATTTTGGTAGCCCTTGGCGGGGAGAAGCGGTAGGCGAGGGAGAGAACGAGGCAGCAAGACCACAAGACCGCGAGGACCGTCAGGCACTCCCAGAAGGCGTCAAGAGAGGTCTGGCTCGTATCGATGGGTGGCTCCAAGATTTTCCTTTGTCTTCTTTCCCTTAGACTATTGAGAGGTCAGTTCAGCTCCTGGACCAGATCCCTCCTTACGACACCCACAAGATCGCCGTCCTGTACGTGGGAGAAGGGCAGGTGAGAGGCCAGTCCTCTTCTGGAACCAAAGCCCAGAGCCTTGTCCGTCGGGCTCGGGAGAAACTGCTACGCTTCCAGGAAGTCCCTTTTCTCTCCTCGGCTGCCTTTTGAAACTTGGTGGCTTCAACCCTGCAACGGCCATACAGCAAAACAGCCTTACTCAGCTCTGTTTTTTACTTCTACCTATGGACCACATGGCGCACTTCCTTCCTGCCCCCCCTCTCTTTTTGCCTGCAATGGCCATACGGCAAAACAGCCTTACTCGGCTCTGTGTTTTGCTTCTACCTATGGACCACATGGCACACTTCCTTCCTGCCCCCCCTCTCTTTTTGATCAGCTGGGTGTGTGTGTGTTCAGATCTGTGAACCCCGCCTTGCAGAGAAAGCCCCTCCATGCAAACGCTACCGTCTTTCCTCCTTCCTCTCCTCTCCTCTTCCCCCAGAGCAACAATGAGTTGGCCATCCTGTCCAACGAGCACGGCTCCTACCGGTACACGGAGTTCCTGACGGGCCTGGGCAAGCTCATTGAGCTCAAAGACTGCCAGCCGGACAAGATCTACCTCGGCGGCCTCGACGTGTGCGGGGAGGACGGGCAGTTTACCTACTGCTGGCACGATGACATCATGCAAGGTATCCTCATCCTAATCTTGGAAGTGCAGGAGCTGGAAGAGGGGCCCTGTAGGTCATCTAGTCCAGCCCTCATCAAGGAGGCCCAGGGCAGGGCAGGGGGGGAATCAAACTCCCAACCTCTGGCTGTGCAACTCGAGAGACCTCAACCCCTGAGGCTATCCAGCCAGCTAAATTACTGTACACTAATTTGGATGTTTCGTATCATCATAATATCAGCGGCAGCACAGACTTGCAGAGCTGGAAGGGGCCCTATAGAATAGGTCATCGGGTCCAGCCCCAGAGGGGAATCGAACTCCCAACTGCTGGCTCTGCAGGCACAGACCTCAGCCATTGAGCTCTCCGGGTGGCCAGGCTTTTCGCACAGACCTCAAGCATTGAGCTCTCCGGGTGGCCAGGCTTTTCTCCCAGGAAGGGGACATTGTTTTAGGAATCCCTTGGCCTGCTGTAGCGTTGGACCAGAGTAACACAGGGATCAGCGTAGGCCCTTCTCTTCCACAAATGCACCCTTTGCTTTATGGGCCCCCAAAATTCACATTTGCCCTCCCTAATTTTGCCCTAAACCCTCTTGGGTGTGGGTGAAGGAGTCTAAAGTCTGTGGCTGGGGGCGGGGATGATTCGTAGCAGCTGAGATGGCCTGTTTCGTAAATAAAGTAGCATAAACGTTTCATATGAATGAAATGGTTGGCCTGCTGCTGCGCTAGTGGTGTCTTCTCACAGCTTTGCATCAATACCCGAGGTTTGTTTTGTCCTCCTGTCCTTCCATTCTAAGCTGCCTTGAAGACGTTGTGCGGAAGAGCCGCAGGTCAATTACAACGGAGTTGGATCCGTGCAGGGAGATTTCCTGGAGAGTTGTGGGAGAGGGTTGTTCATGACAAAGAGGGCTACGGCCCGCAGAGACCTTGCCGGGCGAAGCTTCCTTTTTCGCTCGTTTCTGCTGACCTGCCTCTGAGACGCTTCAGTGTCCGGCCGAGGAAATCATTCCCGGCCGTTGCTGGAAAGGCCTGGGTGTCCCGCTGAGGGCTGCTTCTTTCTCCTTCGCTTTCCAGCCATTTTCCACATTGCCACTTTGATGCCCACCAAGGACTTGGACAAGTATCGCTGTGACAAGAAGCGGCACCTGGGCAACGACTTCGTCTCCATCATTTACAACGATTCCGGGGAAGACTTCAAGCTGGGGACCATCAAAGTAAGAAGGGGGACCAAGGCTCCCTCCTCATTTTCCACCAGCGCTGAGTGGAAACCCCATCCTGTGCATGCAAAGTTCAGGCCACGACTGGAACGAAATGAGCAGCAACAGTAACTGTGGGTGCGCAGCCCCGATACAGCCCCACGCAGCTGAGAGGGAAGGCTGCTGGGGTCCATAAAAGTAACGCTTCCTGTTCCTGCCCCAGAGCCGACTGGAAACTTGCTTTCTCAATAAGAGACGAGGCAAAGCCAGACCTTGGAGCCTTCCAGTTTAGGCCCTCCTGTCCGGGGCTGCACGTTTGTCAGCTAGAACTCCCAGCATGGAGAATTATGGGATTTGGGGTTCAAAACATCCCCAGATCCAGTCACTAATCATGAGAACCTTGCCTCTTTGGCCATTATCTGTCAGCTGCCTGGAGGAGCAATAGAGTGTCTAGGAGAACCTTTTTCAAAGTCAACTGACCCTAAAGCCTCCCGTTGTCCTGATCAAGTCGTGTGATTTTAAAACCTGAAGTGTTCTGCCAGATGCAAAACTCCTCTGAAACTCCGAGCTTTGCTTTCTCCTCCAGCTGGTGGTTCTCAACCTCTTGCCCTCCAGTTCTTTGGGACTCCAACCCTCAGAAGCCTTAGCCTGCGTGGCCAGTAGCCAGGGCTTGTCGGAGCCAGAGGCCCAAATCCCTGGAGGCTCCAAGGCCGAGAAGCCACGTTGTGGATGCCAGCCGGAGCTGGTCAGGGAGAAGGAATGAGGCTCCCCCTTTGCCAAGGAACTCACAGTGGCCCCTCTCCCTTGGCAGGGGTCCTTGGCAGTGGCCCCTCTCCCTCCCCTCTTCCTGGCCTCTGTCAGTCTGTCTGATGTGCCAGGGAAGAATGCTCTCTTTCTCTCTCTCTCTTCCAGGGCCAGTTCAACTTTGTGCATGTCGTCATTAAGCCGCTGGACTACAACTGCAACCTGATCACTCTCCAGTGTCGGAAAGGTAAGGCGAGCCTCTTTCCAAGGGGGGGGGGGATGTATGTGCAGTTCTGCTCCCAGAAATTTCCAGCAGACTGTCTTGTCAAGTGCAGAGCCCTGGAAACCATGGCTTTCAGCTCCTAGTTTGTGTGCCAATATGTGTCTGTGTGCGTGCGTGTGCGCCCATGCATGCATGCCAGGGGAGCAGACTACAGATTTAAAAATAAGCGCTCCCCTTTTGGGCTCTTCCCATGGATGCCTCTTGAACTCGCTGCTTTTTCTGTCCTCTGTGACCCAGATATGGAAGGGCTGGTGGACACCAGTGTGGCCAAGATCGTCTCTGACAAAAACCTGTCGTTTGTCGCCCGGCAGATGGCTTTGCATGCCAATGTGAGTACTGTGGGGATGGGTTCCCGGTTCCTTTCGTGGCCTCTATTTCTGCAAAATATGGGGGGGGGTGGAACCTGCAGAACAGAGGGAAGGGGTAGGGAAGACTAGAGGCATTGGGAGGGAGTTTGGCCCGATCCTGCTTGCCCCACTGAAGGAGATTGACGAGACTTCCGGTCAGCGAAGGACCTCGCAGAAGGAGGCTCTCCCTCAGAGTTGCTTGCACTTCCCCAGAACTCAAGCCCCTGGGAGGTCCTTTTAAGCCGTACCTAAATTTGAGTCACTGTACAGGGGACCAGAAGCAGGGATTTTGCACGTGGCCCTTGTGCAAAGGTATCACATTCACGTGGACCTCTTGGGATGCTGAAAACTTGCCTTTTGGAATGCTTAAAGGTTTACCTTCCAGCCAAGAGGAATGTTTCTGCTGAACCAGCCCCCCTCCCCCCCGGCGTCCTGAGCAGAGTCAGAGGGCAGCCGCTATCCGTTTCTTGCTTCTCTTTGTTCAGATGGCGTCCCAGGTCCACCACAGCCGCTCCAACCCCACGGACACGTACCCATCCAAATGGATCGCTCGGCTGCGTCACATCAAGAGGTTCCGACACAGGGTAACCCCTGCCTTGCTCTCTCCCCTCCTCTCTTCCCCCTCCCCCGCCCTTGGCCCCACAGAGTTTTGCTTCTGGGGGAACCTGATGGGTACAGAAGCTCGAGGCAGAGGCACCGTCCCCTCTGCCCTAAGCCAGGCACAGCTCTCCCTGGGATCACAGCACAAATGGGCTCACAAGAGTTGGGATCTGTTGGGCTGAGCGGACGGTTCGTGTGCAAGATCTCCTTCCTCGGAATAAGCCCAAGGACACGAGGTTCTGGGGTAGCCGTTCTCCCTGGCCTCGCTCCAGATCGCCTGCCGCTTGTTTCCTTGGAGGCAAGCCTTCCCCCTTGGGACAGTTGTGTATCGAATTGCTGTCAACAGCCATCGATTCGTCTTGGCGGTTTCTTGGGTCGGCCTCACCCGTCCACCCATTCCCTTCCCTTTGAGATGAGTCTCTTCTGTGCGTCCCGATGCACCTCTCCTATCCCTCTGGGCGAGGAGAACAAGGCGGCCGGCCGGCCTTGCTGGGCTCTCCTGCAAGCTTCCCGAAGTGCGGGCTTAATAAACGATGCTGTGATGTTCGTCAGCCTACTCTTATCGACCCGTTTCTGTCTTCCTAGATCCGGGAAGAAACACAGTACCAATGTTCTGGCTTCCCTGCTGTGCATCCTCCGGTCACTGCGAAAGCATCTGCCCACATGGCACAGGATCCGGCTCCCAGCTATGAAACAGGGCAGAGGAAGCGCTTGATCTCCTCGGTGGATGACTTCACGGAGTTTGTCTAGCTCAAAGCACAGCCCGCACGGCTTGTGCGGCCGGCGAGATGTTTTCTTCCGGGCACTGGCTCGGTACGACCGCCTTGTGGCATCTTCCCGAGATGCCAGCGCCATCCACGGCCTTTTTTCTCTCTGTGACCTGCAACTGCAGCTTTGCTTAGGGTCAGCCTGAAAAGGCACTGGCCCGTTTTCATGGAACTTCCCTGCAGTTCTCTAGAGAAAGAGAGAAGGAGAGAGAGGTTGGTTGCTCTTTTATTTTTACCCCCCTCCCAAACTAACACTTAACGGGGGAAGTTCTTTTGGAAGCCGGGGGCACTTTGAATGAACCAAAGAGGTCTCGGGGTGGAATTTGAGATCAAGGGGCAGCTGTGTGCCTACCTCTGCCCAACCCCCAGGGAGGGGAGTGTGTCGGAAAGGTAGTTTTGTTTTGTTCTGTAAACTGTTTTCCCGTCAACTCTAAAACACAAAGCCATGGAAGGCCAGCAGGCGGTATGGGTGAACTTTGTCCTTGGCTTTTTTTCTAGTCGAGAAGACGCCCCCCGTTGCTTCATGTGTGCGTACATTAAATATCCATGACTTCTCCCATGATGTCTACATTGACTCTTCTTGGCATTGCTCTCTACTGGTTGGGTGGCCATGTTGTAGGACCAGGTGGCCTTGAGTGGTTTGGGTCTTGGCAAAGGGGGGGGGAACGGGGGCACCACCATCCTCGGGGGCCCTGCAGCGCCTGCCTGGCATCCTCCAGTCCTACAGAAGGCCTTGTGTGCACGCGTTACGTCTCATGGTAAGAGTCTCTGGTTGTAGCGCCACGGTCTCTCCTAAAGCTGTCTGGGACAGGCCATGAAGACAACATGAAGTAAATATAGGTCCCATGAAGAATCTTGTAAGCTGGTGTGTGAAGCATTGTTTCCTGTCTGTGGCCCCTTTCAAATGCGCCAGGGGCCCCCCATGTTCCCCCATTGAGAATGGCTGATCTAGTGTGTGTCCCCCCTCCCCGTCTCCCCAAATGTGACTGGTTTGCAGCACCCTCCTCCTCACCAATGGCTCTCCCGGGGGCTCAGGTTGGCAGAAGCTGCAACCCAAAATGTGACTGGTTTGCAGCCCCCTCCTCCTCACCAATGGCTCTCCCGAGGGCTCAGGTTGGCAGAAGCTGCAACCCAGTTCCCTGGGGAGGGCCTGTGGGTTCCCCTCCCTCTTGCCCCAGCACGAATTCTTGTTGGTGCTGAGTGGCCTTGATTTTCAGAGCTGGGAGCCCCAAATGCACATCGTTCAATGGACATGAAATATAACTCAAGTTTCACCAAGCAAAACACACATCTTTATTGAGCCGTCCATTATTAATGTTAGTTTGACTTTGTCATGTTTTTTTCTTCCTCTCTCTCCCCCCCATCCCCCCCCCAAAAAAAATTACAAAAGAATCCATGGTTTGCACACGTTAACATCAAGCCGACGGCTGCTGGTCCAGCCATGGCTACCGGAAGCCTCGGCAAAGCCACCCGCCCTGAAAGGAGAGCTTAGGTGGTTCTCCTTTGCTTAGCTCACAGACGTCTGTCCTAAAAAGCAACTTGCTGTGTGAGATTTCAGACAATAATAAATAAGAAGCCGTCTGCCTGGTAAGTGGAGGCCAAAACATACATTCAGGAGTTTATCTCACTGATAGGAGAAGATTTGGCTTCATTGCGAAACCG